GTTATACATTGATAGTTACGATTACAAAAAGTTTTCATATTGCAATTAGTAAGGAGGAAGTATAAACAGTTTTGTAGTAGGTAAAATAATTAGGAATTAGTAGTTTTATACCAGTCTAAAATTGATAATTTGGAATCATGGATGATGTTTCATAAGCTCGAGTTGATACCGAATTACGCAATGATTGCTCCTGCGAAAAGGGAGTATGAATGAACAATTTGGGGGCAGCCCTTTCTTCATTTATTTTAGAGGCCCACCTTGCAACTACAAGTCAAACTACTATAAATTCAACACATTGATGAATAAGGTCGAGCCACAATAAGGTGGGCTCGCCGTGTGTTTCTATCCACCTTATCTTTACTTATTAAGAATTACTTTGTGTATGTGAAATATTAGGTAAATAGAATACAATCGGGTATTTAAAATAGCTATTTTTTTTACTCATACAAAACCTATGTGAGTATGTGACTCTATCATATACCTATCACTTATCGCCTTTATAGCTCTATTATATATTCGGGTGTATCATGCATCTACTTAGGTGTGTGTAATGTGTATGTTTCCGTCATTGTGGCATTGTGCATCTAACACCTTGTGATGTTCAGATACGCCTCCGTATAAGCTAACAAACAAGAATGAAGATCAACACCAAGGAAAGAGGCTGTCCGAGCTATTCAAGGACAGCAGCTTCAGCAGGGACAGCCTAACAAGTGCAAAGGCACAAGCAGCAAGTGAAGAAGGAAAAGAGACGCCAACAAGTTCAAGTAAAAGTACTCCTAATAATAAGATGGACAAAGCAGATAAAAAATCTGGGGGTAAATCTGTTAAGCATTGTTTACCAAGTTTAGTTAGAAGTTTAAGTTGTGGTGATCGCAAAAAGAGGCCAAATCCTGCTCATATTGCTGTTGCAGGTTGATGAACACAACACACAAACATAAACATAGTTTGTCTTGATAATTTATATATGTATGGATTTGTAAAGAGAGTGATAAATATTTATCAAAGTAATTAATAAGAGTGCTTTGCTTCTAATCTGTCTTAACATTTTTGTAAGTATCTGTCTTTATCCCCTGCCGTGTCCCGTGGGTACTGGGTACTCGTCTCTAACTCAAATAGTTCATCATCATGCTTTATTGGGCGTGTTTTGTGTTTTGTCGATGCACATCTATGACTATTCTATTGAAGCCTCTAATACACGCAAATCTCATTGAAACAAATTAAATAAAGAAAATTTTGACAATTATCACTTTCTGTTTAGTCCATTTTAATAATTACCACCTTGTATTTTTTTTTTTGAAAATTTCCACCTTCTATTTTCAAAAACATCAAAAGTTACCACCTTCTTGCCTCCCAACTACCACATGACGTCATTTTGGTTTCATTCTTTCCCTTTCCTCCTTATTTCCCTCACATTTCTCATTCTTAACTCGATTCTCATCCCCCTTTTCACTTTTTTTCCCCCAAACAATAAAAAACACTTCAATTCACTCCTCCTAATCAAAATTGACGAACAATTATTGGTGGTTTGGGGGGAAAACAAGTGAAAGGGGAGATGAGAATCCAAATAAGAATGAGAAATGTGAGGGAAATAGGGAGGGAAGGGAAAGAATGAGCCCAAAATGACGTCATGTGGTAATTGGGGGGGCAAGAAGGTGGTAACTTTTTATGTTTTTGAAAGTAGAAGGTGGTAATTTTCAAAAAAAAAAAAATACAAGGTGGTAATTGCTAAAATGGACATAACAGAAGGTGGTAATTGTCAAAATTTCCTTAAATAAAACTTCACTCAAATATATTACGTACTCCGTATAATTTTAAAAAAATTTCTCAAAACGTGAATAATTACAAGAATTAAAATAGGGAAAAACTTTTAAATTAAAGATTGAATATTTATATAGAATTTAAAGTTTATTTAAATAATTAATATCAGACAAATCTAACTTAGTTTTCATTTTCATTGTATTTAATGTACATTGCTGAGTATTATACTATTATATTAATTAAATTTTTGTTGATGAGACGTAAGAACGTAACATTTATAGCTAATAATCGTTTGGTCATGTTGAAGACACAAAATTTAAGTTATAAAATTGGAAAATTTTATTGAAGGAAGGAGTTCATACGTAGTATTTAATGTGTAACAAAACAATTAAGATCATACAAATCTAATTATTGTACTTTGTAGTTTTCATTATATTTAATGTTCATTAGTAATTATAAAATGTTTTGTTGATGGGACGTAACAACATAACGGTTGGAAATAAAGAAAGGAAATTCAAAGGGTTAGATATGGGCGTCTGATTAGGTGCCCGACCTGGCGAGACCCGCCCGACCGGGCGCGAGAAGACATCTGGAAAAAGGGAGTGTCTGCCCGATCGGGCGTGTGTTTGTCTGTTGGACTCCAACGGTTCCCTTGGATTCCTTTTCTTGTTTGATTTCTTGTAACCCCCCATTTAAGAGGTTGATTATGGTGTTTTTCATCACCATAATATTTCTGATTTCTCTTTTTGGTTCACAAAAGATTCCTCCATGATCTTTCATCTTCTTCTATCATTCATCTCTATAAATTGGAGGATGTTTTTCTGATTTTTAGATACACAAGAAATACATATCAAACACAAGCTTGCTTAAACACATACTATATATTGGGTATGAGTTACTTGGCTCCAACCTTCCACCCAAAAGTGTCTTTGTGTGGAAGTAGTGTGTTAACCTTAGGGAACGTGCCGTTGAATACAATAGTGCACTCTAGTTGCGCCGGAATTTCGTTTTCAAGTCAGTGATTTGCATCACGACACACCGTACTCTTCCATTGTCTCAAGATCATCTTTTCGATGTTCTTATTTTATAATATAACCTTGAAAATACCTCTTATATTACAACAATAACAAGTAAGACCAATTACTTTTTTTTTTTAGTGCAAAGTAAGACCAATTACTAATGAGAGTGAAGGATAACTCAAGTGGTTAGAGCTTCCCTCTCGATTTCAAGACATTTTGGGATCGATTCTCATTAACCGCCCTTGTGATACTCTAAGTATCAAAAAAAAAAAAACACCAATTACTAATAATCGTTTGTCATGTGGAAGACACACAATTTTAAATATCTCCCTCCTGCTTAATAAAAATTACATTACCCTTGCTAATTATTATCATTTTTGGATCGGTAACTTTTATTTTCGGAGTATCACAACGTTCATGCGACCCCATAAATTGTCGATATGTGAAATATTAAAGCATGCCAATAAATGATAATAATCAATTCAATCATTTTAGCCAAATCCAAGCATATAAAAATACTTTAAATCCAATTGATCTACACCTTGTTAGAACCAACAATAGTAACATTTTAATATTAGATCAGCTTACCATTTTCTTCTAAAAGGGAAGTGTTTAGCTTCTTCTAATTTAAATTCCCGGAAAAGTTTATGGAAAATTCAGATTCCTTTTAAATATAGAATGTTTTTGTGGAATTGTGCTCATTCGATTTTGCCAGTGGCTCACACTTTGGCGAGTTATATGCCTCTAATTTCTCCTTTATGTTCAAGATGCAATCTTTTCTCAGAATCTCACATGCATATCTTTAGGGATTGTTTTGCTTCTTCTATCTTATGGAATGATATCTTTGGAAAAGTTTATCTTCCAAAAAATTTTGATTTTAATATTTTTAAAAATTTGACTTGGAAGATTTGGATTAATTATAATCTAAGTTTGGATAGGAAATGGAAACTGATTTTTGGTACTGCTTTGTGGCACCTCTGGTTACATATAAACAATACCATTTTTTAGAATAAACAAATTGGTCCGATTTCTCTTTTTACTAAGTTCTATTTCGCTATAAGATTTCTAGCTCCTTGTTACAGGTGAATAGCAAAAGGAAAAACAATGAGTCAAGTTCCTCCGCCACAGTTTGGGAAGCGCCTAGGGATGGCTAATTTAAAATAAATACTGATGGTGCTTGGCTCAACTCAACTGTCTCTTCTGGAGGGGGTGTCATTAGAAGGTCTGATGGTTCTTGGTATGTGGGCTTTTCCTGCAAATACGATGCTATCTCTCCCCTTCTTACTGAGTTGTATGCCTTGAATGACGGTCTCTCGATTGCTGAAGTCTAAGGGTTAAGAAAGTGATCGTGGAAACTGACGCCAAGGTGCTTAGGGATATGCTCATGTCAGCAGGACCTAATCCTCATCACGAGTTAGCTGCAGCAATATGTGATGTTGCTACTGTTCTTTCCAAGTTTGAAGTGGTTGTGGTGACTTATATCCCAAGAGAGGCTAATGAATTAGCTCATCGCCTTGCTGTTTTTGGAAGAGAGATGGCGGTTGGATACAAAATTCACTACTTGGTTTCTGATTGCGTTTCTGAATTGTATGAAGTAGAAAAGGAGCGTGTTGCAGAGGCAACAGCTGATCACTAGTCATGTGGGTGTTCTTCTCTTAGTCTTGGATGTCTATAGCTTTTGGGTTGGAAGTATGGTTGAAAATAACTGTTAGTTTAATTTCTTGGTGGCGGGAAGTTTTTGGGTTCACTACTGTTGTACATATAGCTCCTTGTTTTAGCTTTAACTCGGATGTATTTATAGCCTGTTGCATAGGCGTTTTTTGCTGCAATATCGATTTTCATTGTACTTATTATGGGATGTTCATTGTAAATATTAAGGCTATAGCCTTTTAATCTATATATCTACTAGTTATGTTAAAAAAAAAACAATAGTAACATTTTAAAGATGATTTGTGTTGAAAGACACTCATATAAGTCTCATTAAAATACTAAAATAGATGATACACAAGTCGATTAGGTTAAAATCAGTAAAGAGCAAACAAAGAAAAACAATAAAACACGAATTATCAACTAAGCTAGCTTAATTGGTTAAAATTTTGAGGGATAGTATCATTATTACTCAAGACACGGGATCAAATTCCATCTTACAGTCGCATTTCATATTAGCACGTGGGAATCACGTGGCCAGTTCGAAAGAGAGAACACTAAAACGTACTGTAGAACCCTAAACCCCTGAACCTGGTACTTGGTAATGTAGGAAGTTGGGATTTTACAAACCCAAAACGCTCAAACTTTCACCATTTTGCAAAGGGCAAACCACAATAATAATCAAGAGATAGAAAGAAAATGGCAAAGGAATTCACAAAATCATCCAAAATCAGCCATAAATTCAAAAGCAGAAGCAGTAAAAATGGAGACAACAATGGTGAATTTGATAAACAAGAAAAGGGTAAAACAGGTTTCAGCAAGAAATTTACAAAAGAGAAGACTCAAATTCGATCAAACCCATTAAAGGTATCATCTTTGGAATCCAGCAAGAAGAAATTTGGGGAAAAAAGGAAGAAAGTTGAGGATTTTTCAGGAAAAAGCAGCAAAAATTTGGGGAATAATTTTGATAAGCAACTCAATAATGATGATAACAAGTATATCAGAAAAAACCCATTGAAGTTTTCTTCTTCAGAATCTGGTAAGAACAAATTTGGGGATAATAGGAATAAATTTGAAGAGAATTCGTCAAAAGTTTCAATTTTGAGAATTGAAAGGAAGAAATTTGGGAAGAAAAATTCTGAGGATGATTCAGTGGAAGCTAAACCAAAGAAGAAGAAGAGAGTGATCAAGATTGATCGTTACGACTTTTCGAATAAGCGGCTTGATGATGGAAATGTGCTTAATGGTAAGTGAAATTGCTGTTATTTATGGTCTAATTATGTTTGTATAAGTTCAATTTATATCCCTTATTTTAGCTGAATTAGATTATATGTGAATTTTAGAGATAACCAATCAACAGAAGAAGGAAGAGAAAAAAGAAGAGGTTGACAAAGTGGAATTGTCAATGAATGCACAGTTCAGGGCAATTAAACCAAGTCCTTCAATCCTTACATTTGTTGAGGACAATGTAACTTCCTTTGCTAATTTTGCTTAAATTGTTTGTGGTTTAGATTATTGATTGTTAGTTTTGTTACTTTGATTGATTTTCTTGTGATTATTGTTTGTAAATCTGTTTAGTTATTGGGTCGTAGACGCGATATTGAGCTAAGAAGGGCTGGCTATAACACTGAACTCCCGGCGCCATTGGATAACATACCCTTCTCCACAAGCACGGATAGGGAAAGAATTGAAGAAAGTGTATGTTCACTTACTGGGAGTTGCATTTTTGCCTTAATTTCCTTTTTCATTATTAAGTTCATTTGTTGCTGCTGTATATGTATGGATAACTTTGCTTGTTTCAATCATTTTATAGTAATGGTTGTAGATGTTACTCTAGCCTCTTAGCTATAGCATTGGAGCAAGTCTGGCAATATGATAAATTTTGTTTGCAATATATCTTACTGATGATATAGATGAACTTTCTAAGCCTTGCAAGCATTATATCAATTGAAAAACCCACAGTGGATCCTATTGGCCATCAGACTATCTTATGTTTTTCCTTCATATTTTCCGATGTTCTGACTTTTTTATTTCAGGTATTCAGGAATAAGATGGAGTTTTTCGCAGCTGCGAAAGTTTCTTCATCATTTCCCCCGCCTGATCTCCCTGAGATTGCGTTTGCTGGTAACTGATTTTCATCCTGTGTAAATTCTAGTTTCTTACTGTGTCTAGTATGGTTGGAAATCTTGGCATTGATGTTGACATGGACAATAAAAGCTTCTTGAGTTCTAAAGATGTTTCCCCATGCTACTGCCTTTTTTCACTAACCATTTTGTGCAATGTGCAATGAAGGATGATTTTGCTACCTAATTTTCTTATACTCAAATTTGTAAAGATGCTATTCATCTTGGTCACTTTTTTTTATGGCATAAACCTTCATTTTTGCTTGATGGTACTTGACTACTTCCTTTGGAAAAATAAAGAAGAATAAGGCACCAAAGATGATATTGTGTATTTTCTCCGTCCTCTTTAGGCAGGTCCAATGTTGGGAAATCGTCTCTACTTAATTCACTTACCAGACAATGGGGAGTTGTTCGGACTTCCGATAAACCTGGTCATACTCAGGTTTCATTTCATCAACTTAAGACATTTTGCTTCATGCTGTAATGTTTGTATATAGTCTACTAATAGTCAAGCTGGCTTTTGTTCTGCAGAGTATAAACTTTTTTAATCTTGGTACAAAGCTCAACTTAGTAGATTTACCTGGTTATGGTTTTGCTTATGCAAAGGAAGAAGTCAAGGAGGCTTGGGAGGATCTGGTAAATATGCTACTGTACTTCCAAACTTTTCTTTTGTCAAGTTCCAGAATCACATTACTTTTTTGTCAAGTTCCAGTATCACATTATAGAGCTTATATAATATGTGTTGTACTTGGATTACCAAGCTGCATCCTAGAGTGGGAGAGTAGGAGATGACAAATTTTTAGCAATTGTGAAGGTTTACAGTTTCTACTGTGACTGCGTTTTATTATTTTGTCAAGTTCTATCACTTGTCAATCAAGGATTTTAAAACTTCGTCCTGAAATATTGTTCAATTCATTATTATTGCGAAATACCTCCCTGGGATGCTCTACTTAGTGCTGTATGTGATCTTGGTAATATGCGCCTGGCTTATACCTGTTTTTCTTGCAAGAGCATGCTATATCAGCAAATGGCATACTTCCTCCATTCCAGTAAAACTTGTAATTTTTAGGCAAGAGGAGCGAGGAAGTGGTGACTATAAAAAGTAAGAAATACAAAAATATGCTTAAACAAAGTTAGAGGTGATCAATGCCAACTGGCCATGTATAATTAGAGTCTGGGTTAAAATAGAAAAAAGGGTAGTGTTGTAATTTTTCTTGAGACATCCAATAGTCGCAAGTAGTGTAGCGAAACCTTTTGTTATCTAATTTCCGTTAATTCTGGTAACAAAAGGTTTGATGTAGCTATATAGTTGTTTCTCATGTCAGGTAATAAGTGGTATGCTTTTATAATCTGCCATTACCATTGTTTTTCATTACATAATTTGGTTTGCTGACTTGAGGTAATTTGGATTTATATATTGTAGGTAAAAGAGTATGTTTCCACAAGAATTGGGCTAAAAAGAGTTTGCCTTCTCATTGACACCAAGTGGGGTATGAAACCAAGGGATCATGAACTTGTTCATTTGATGGAAAGGTATGTCTCTCTTTCTCTCTTGGTGCTTGGAAGGTAAAAGATCTCAGCTTAACCAGTTTCAGTCAAAACTTGCATGGCTCTTTAAGTTCAGCGATACTAGTATGTTATCGTTGCAAAGCTCTGCTAGCATTACTGCATTAATAAACCCTTTGCATAGAGTATGTTGACTAACACTGTTTTAAATTTCAAATTCATACTTTAAAACTTTGGATTTGCTATTGAAAGTGAAGACTTCTAGCATAATGACAAGTTAAAGGCCTTGAACTAACTTGTCAGACTAATAGTGGCCTTTGTTCTATAACATGATTTTCAACTTGTATCCTGATAATATTTTCAATTTTCAGGTATCAGACCAAGTATCAAATTGTCTTGACAAAAACAGACACGGTGTTCCCCCTTGATGTGGCTCGTCGTGCTATGCAGATTGAAGAGGTGAGCACTTTGAAGTATCAGCTTCCCATTTCCCCCTACGATAGTCTTTAATTAACATTGTATAAAAATCCGTTTCTTTGTGTTTTCAGACACTCAAAGAACATAGATCCATTGTCCAACCTGTGGTATGTCTTTCTTGTACCAAGTCCATATTTAGTCTGTGTTTGTGAATGTGACATAGAAAGGAATTGCATATTTTTGGTTCTCGTATTGATATTTGCCATTATTCATTGCCTGTGGCAGATGATGGTCAGTTCAAGATCTGGAGCTGGCATTAGATGTTTGAGAACAGCACTTTCGAAAATAGCGCGATTTGTTAAGCCTTGAACAATTTTGGATGGATGTTGGGACTTTTTTTTTGGGAGCAGATTTACATGTTTAGGTTACTTCAAGTAGGCTTGAAAGTGCAAGACTTGGATGACGCCTTTCAAATTGAGAACAATCAGTTAAATGTAATTTTTTCATTAATTCATAATGAAATTTGGCAACTGGAATTCAATCAAAGGTATATTAGAAAGCATTTAAATAGTACAATAATAAGTGGCTTGTTGATGCATATTAAAAAGCTCTATCTGTCGATGATCACCAACCAAAGTAGATTGTAGATATGCTACACTATCTCAATGCACCAAACGATTTTGGTTAAGGTGTTATTTAACATCATGCACAACTTCTAATGCAATATTGTAGTAACACTCTTTTGATGTACTAGAGAAATATACAGAAGTTAAACATTTGGGAAAAAAATATAAAACATTAAGGAAATAGGGGAAGCATGTTGCTTATTTTTATTATCAATATAAAATTTGAGAAATCTATTATCAAGATTGATCTTCCAAAGAACACAACTGCACAATTCATTCTTTAAGTAAGCACAGTTGGCTTGTATGAAACTCAATTATTTTGTTTTTGTTTTTTTTTTTTTGAACGGTGGCTTTGATGAAACTAAATTATTTGACATAGTTTAAGCTGATAATACTTTTTTTCACCTGTAAATGAATCTTTCAACTGGGACTGGAGTCGTAACTCGTAATCCAAAACTACTTGCAAGACAATCACTATGAGACAGAGCATAAAGGTAGTAGCTAATATAGATCCGTAAGAAGAGGATGGATGAACAACTTTAGGTACAAGTATTGCGTGGCAAAATATTACAAGTATTATAGCTATGCTGTCACAAACAATTACACTAAGGTTTTCCATGATGTAAAATTAATATCAATGTTCTAGATTACTCAGTAGACTTGATTAAAAAAAATGAACTCCTCGATCAGACACAAAAGGTGCAAAAAATCCTCTACATGTAAATACATTGGAGAGATTCAACTTCAAATTCCAGGAGCAGCTTGTCATGAGCAAAATTCGCAAACATAACATTGATTTTCTATTAGAAAAATATTATTGATACACCTATTGTAAAGCATCCTGCAGCCACCCAAGGACTCAGCCTTTCACCTGATGCACATAAACAAGGAACACATGTCAGGAGCTATATGGCATTTCCAGCAAAACTCGCCATAAGCACACATCAATGAAACCCATTGTATTACAATCAAGGAGAAATCAAGCACCATGCTTGGCAGCAAAATACGGTAAAAGAACACAGCTTTTCCTGAATATTGTAGGTTCACAAATTCATCACATATATAAGCATGAATGTGCTTAAAAAACCTTAAAACAAACAAAGCCAAAGCTCATATCATTCACTTAGTATTAATATCTTGCAAAAGGAGGGCATTATCATTATTCATTGCAGTATTTTTGGTAACTAAAGTACCTCGATAAACCTCTATTCTCCTACATTTAAAGATCAACCTTGAGAATTGAGATGTAAATGAGATAGTAGTAGGCATCTATTACATTTTACCACACAACGAGGAAGTTCAATCATGAACATGTTTGATATAAACCTTCAAGACCATATAAACCAATATGAAAATTTAGAATCATTTACAAGTCAGCATTCAGTCTGAAGAGGTAAACTGTGTAATGAAGGAGGTAGAGTGGTACAGCCATTGCGTTATGTATTTAATGAAATCACTGGTGGGACAGTCAGCAAACTTTAAACAGAGATGAGCGAAGGATTTAATATGCAAAGGATTCCGTCAAGCCACAACTACAATACTAAGAAATAAAAAGGATAAGTCATCACTAACAATTACAGCCACATTCAGCGATACAAAATAGAACTTTTAACAAGCTTACCAATCCTAGCAGCCTTCCAAAAGAACCCTCGAAATCTGTAAGACCAGAAAATATTAGATGAGACCAAATACAATGACACCTAAGAAAAGTGAAATTACGACTCCCTAAATAGTATCTTCAACTTGATAAGTTAAGGTGTTATACAGCTTTAACCCTGAAATGAAACAGCACAATTTGAACATAATACAAGGTTACAGTCATGATTCAGATTTTAACTAAAAATATCCTTATTGCCTTATATAGAATGATGGCATTATAAACCTTACTAATTTTCCAAAGAAATAGCAAGCACAAAATGCCTTGCACAAGTAATATCCCAGAGATTCATCTGGTTCTGCAGTAAAGGTTTACAAAATAGTTTCTAATATGAAGCTCTATCTATTAAACAGCATACACACTTCTAGTCTCACATCAACAAAAGAAGATCCTCCTTTCTTCTTCTTTTTTTTTCCCCCTTCCCCCCCCCCCCTTTATTTTGGAAGAAAATACATCTGTATCAGTTATTGCTAAGCCAATATATAAGACAAGGGCTTCACAAAAAAAGAAAAGAGGGGGGGGGGGGACAGAACAAATATTAGGCTGAAGAAGATAATGGCAGTAATGACTAAAGAGCACAAGATTCAGGTACTTGATACTGCATTGGGAAATCTGGAAACAATGACAGGTCACACAGATTTCAGTAGACACACTAGCTAGTAACTACAACAGCCAACTTACCTTTCATGTGTGAGATATAAGCTAATATGTATTATCTACTCAAAAAAGAACCACAATAATATGCTTCTGGGTCATTGACATGCTCCCACATATCATCCACTCCTTATTTAATGAGGATCAGGGAAAAAAGAGGCCATTTATCCACCAATCCACAGAGGCATTTGTCCATATTTCATAAGCACAAGTGATAACTCAAGAAGCTAGTAATGACCTTAATACAATAAAAGGTTTAAAAATCATGAAAGTGAGTTCCCAATGTTCCAGTATACTACCTCCGTTTCTTTTTAGTTGACACGTATTCCTTTTTAGGAAGTTTTTTTTAGTTGACACGTTTCCTTTTGGGGGTAACTTTTTTACCTTGCATTTACAAGCTACCCCACTTGCTTTTTCATTCTCTCTCACTCTCTCTCCTCTCCTTAATATATGTGCCTAAATCAAACGCGTCAACTAAATAAAAAGGAGAAAGTAGTTCACTGTCCAATCATGTGTGGAGTTTCAAGTATACAAGTACCCAGAGAAGCATATGCCTAATGGGATACATGACGTATGCAGCATGCCAAATTACAATAACAATTTTCCTAATCTTTCTTTGCTTAATCCAAGGGTAATTTGTATCCAGCATAAAGAAACATTTTGTTGACAGCATGGAGTACAAGCTTAGTTCCATTATTAGTTGGATGATCAGCACACAGTAAATAGAAGGTAGGACTATAAACGATCAACTATAGCTTCCTAGAAGCATGAGAATAAAAATGGTATCCCTCAATAAGTGGCAATTCCTAATCCCTTGGCTGCTAACCAAACAAAACAAAAGGCATTCTAACAATTTATACAGAAACCAATTCCTAAAGACTGCAGCTTAGCAAAGTAAAGGCCTAATTTAAAATAGAGATTACTACATCTACCCACTGGATAATCTACCCATATAAATGGACAATTAAAATCTATTTTATGTTACTTAGATTCCAGTAACTATTAATGTCTATTTTACGTGGGTAGATTACCCAATGGGTAGATGAAGAATGCTCCATTTAACACACACACACACACAAACTAACATTCTTAGCTAATTAAATCATATTAAAAATTAGTAGAGCAGTAGAGACAATAAAAAGTAGTCCTTCGAACTAAAAATAGTTGCCACACAATACTAAACCCTCAGTCCCCTAACAACTAATGATAAGCCATGGTTTCACTAAAAGACCCTTACTAAAAGTCATATCATTTTCATACTCTTCCCATCATTCCCCAAATCAGACAATCTATAAAAATTATGTCGACCATTTTCGACATCCTATAACGGCACACTAATACTATTTGGGAGTTGGGAAAGAACACAAAGTATTCTGTATCATATATTAGAATCAACTCAAATTGAAAGGACATTCCCCCAAAACCGAAGCATATTACAAGCAACTTATAATGATCAAAAGTCTCCAAGCTTCAGACATTCATAATTCAAACAATGCAGTCGCTCAACTAAACAATGAATATAAACATTCACTAGCATTAATTCCTCAGGTTTCAAAATTAACTAATCAAAGAACAAAAAATAAATTGAAAAAGAAATATGAAATCATACCCAGTTCTCTGTTCAAGAAGGGCAGGAAAATGCATCTTGATATAAGTGCATGTACAAATAACTAAAAGCACCACCGTCAAGAAAGAGTGAAAATTGAAAAAGCGCCGACTGAAAATTTCCCAAAAAAAAACAATTACAAATTCGCCAAAAAATGACCAAACAATCAAAATAATGCTATCAATTGAATAGATTAAAAAGCTAAAATTGAGTAATTTACCATGATTAATGCTTCCTATTTGTGCTCAGAAACTCGTTCAAAATCTTCCCAAAAAACCCTAACCAGAGAAAATCAATTGTTACGAATTAGAAGAGAATTGAATCGTGTATACACATCATAGCATCAATATCAAATTGAAAAAACACAGCGAAGAGAAAGAGAGAGATTACCAAAGATTAAATTGGAAAGATACGAGAAATTCCGAAGCGAATAACCCTAGATTGAGAGAGGGAGGATGAGATCTCCGGTGATCGGTGACGACGGAAAAATCAAACAAATCAAAAGAAATTGGTCGACTCCTTTTGTGGTAAATACGAAGTACAGAGTATTTTTTATTTTATTATTTTTTACGAGTAATAAAAGTTAAAAACCCACCCAAACACAATTATGATTAGAAAACTTTATTTATTCAAGCTTAACTAAGGACTAGTGTAGTTCCAAAAAAAAAAAAAAAAAAAAAAAAAAAAAAAAAGGACTAATGTAGTTATTTAGTTATAAAAAAATTGTTTTGAGCATAAATTTTTTTTTTTAACCAATTTAGATATCGATAATGCAACTTTGCTTTTAATAATGCAACTTGCTTTATATATCTATGTTCATTACATTTCACGATTTATGTTTTTTTAGTAAAATAAATTAGTTTTAAATAGTTCTAATAATAGTTGCGCAGTAAAAAAATTACCAAAGTTCAAGTTAGAATATCAAGTTTTTTTTTTTTTTTTTTTTTAAATTTTTTTGGCTTTGTTGCAAGATAGTCACCAAAAAAAACGTGGAATGTGTTTTTGGAATATTATAAACCCATTGTTGCATAAAAAAATTACCATTATGTTGTAACTCAAA